ATATTCCTAACTCCCTCAATTTCTTCAACAGTGTCACGTCCATCGTCTTGCAGTCTTGTAGATATGGCAAAAATCTATCCGACCCGTAAACCCGACATTAACTCGACCCGTAAAAAATAGGTTAGGATTTACATATTTCAATTCACAATCTGTAAATAACTTATATTATCAACCCATATGAGTTACGGTCGAGTTAGGGTCAACTCGCAAGTTGATGGGTTGATCTGTTTGCTTTATTTATTATTTTTTAAAAAAAATATTATACTTATTATCTTTTAATTAATTTTCGTATTGGTAACTTCTTCCATTAATTTATACTCCCTAATTTCTAGAGAAAAAAAATTATGATAAGTTTGATCTAATTACCCAAATATCATTTTTTTTTTGTATTAACAATTACCCATGTATCATGAATAAAATGATAATGCAACTAAAAATATTAAAAGATCTGATGTTAAGACATAAACATAATAACTTAGTAAAAGATATTTTTGGAAGAGCAATTTTTTCATTAAAAAAATGAATTAAATTAGTTGATAATGTTTTAAGATAATTATAAAATTAAAACTTTATTTTCTAAAAAATTTAAATAATTTACGTTTAATATTTTTATTGTTAATCAATTTATTATTATTTATAATTTTTTTATTTTTTTCTTAATTTAAATATTTGTAATTGAAACTATAAAATATTTAGTGTTAATGAATTATAATATTTTAATTAGATTTATATATATATAATTTTATTTGTATATAATAAAATTAACAAAAAATAATTATAAAAAATAAAAATAAGATCAACCTATAAGTTAACCCGTAACCCATTAAGATCGGATTAAGGTTAGATTTTTTTTAATTCATTAATAACCCAACCTGTCACCCAAATTGACACGATCCGAACCCAACCCAACCCGCATGTTTGCCAGGTCTACCTGCAGGTGGTTAGCATGGAGCTTGTGCCCCAACACAATGCCTCTTTCAGGTTCAGCCGCCTCAATTTGGTTCATTGCAAGTGTACCAATGGAAATGCATTTTCAACTCATTTCGCCATTCCCAATTTAGATTGGGCCGAGACCTAAACTTAGATTGGACCCTTATTTTATAGTTTGGTTTGAATTAGGCCTTTTTTGTGAAACTATGAAAGCTTTATTGCTATGGGCTCCAATCGTCAACATCTTTTGTTAGGCCTCTGCTTTTTTACTTTTTTTTTTTTTCCTTTTGTTTCTTTAAAGCACCGCTCAATCAGCACCTCCCTTCGTAGTTCGATTGTTATAAATCTCATGGTAAGATATATCCTTAACCCTATATTAGAGTTTGAATTTTTCTTCCTCTAAAATTGTAATCCATTAAAAAAAAAAAAAACCACTAAATCAGAAAGAAAGGCAGAAGAGGAGGCGGCCTGAGCTGACACATGCCAGCAGACATATGTTAATCGGCATTCAATTTCAA